GGAAGTAGTTGAAACCAACCCATTATTTACCCCTGTTGCTACAGCTCACAAATAATTATCCAACTAGCCATCTAACTTCTGCTTCATGCTTCTAGTGTTTAGGGGTCGTTTATTTAGGGATGCTGGCCATTTCGAAGAGTTTGTTTTGTTGAGCCAAGGTCTCACTATGTAGCCCAGGCTATGCTCAAACTCCCAGCGATCTTCCTGCCTCAGCCTCCTAAGCACTGGGATTACAGACATGTGCCACTGTGCCTGATAATGGTTTTCAAAATAAAAAAAAGCGGGGGGGGTACCATATTAACAAAGTGAGAAAGTAACTGTTTTGCTAAAGGAACTCATTTTGTGGAGAAAATATTTTGAAAACCATTATCTAGGTTTGAAAGCTTTAATTTTTGAAAGATGGTTCTGAGGCCTGAACCAAAATCTGCTTTTTTGAGTAGTCCTGGAGTTATCAGCTCAGCCATTTCTGGGGTGAAATGTGTGGCAGACTGCCTAAGACTCTTTGGAAGTAAGGGAAGAACATCTGGAAATTCCTGTATATGTTTATGTTTTTTTAATCTTCATTAGCATTTACTATTAGGGCACAAGAGCCCTCATTTGGCCTATGTAGCATATATAGATATTTAGCATTTCTGCCATTTAGCAGGGTGATAGTACAACAAAAAACAAACAAGGGCCTGGCTTGTGGCTCAGGGGTAGAACACTCAGCTGCCGCACACTCCGCCCCAGTGTCCCTCCCCAGCGCTGCAAAGGAAGCAGGAGCAGCGGTGGGAGCAGGAGCCAGGAGACAAAACACACTTGTGGTCAGCGCCCTGACCACTCCCCGTGATTGGCATTCACAGTCTTGTAGAGGTTTCTTTTATTGCAGTTTATCTGTGTATGGTTAAGGGTTATCAGATGATTCTCGTGCATAAACCACAGGCTGAAGATAAAATTATAAAGCAAGCACACATGAAAATAACAGCCCTTGCCTTAACCTCCGGCTAATTTGTCCTGTTAGAGAAGGCAACCATGCCAGGCACAGCACATACCTGTAATCCCCGTGCTCTGGAGGCTAAGGCAGGAGGATCACCAAGAGTTTGAGGCCAGCCTGAACTATGTAATGACACCCTGTCTCAAAAAAAAAAAGCGGGGGGGGGGAACCATATTAACAAAGTGAGAAAGTAACTGTTTTGCTAAAGGAACTCATTTTGTGGAGAAAATATTTTGAAAACCATTATCTAGGAGTATTTCCACCATTCTGTGGTTGCAAAAACTGTAAGTGGTACCTGTAAAAGTGCTCGTTTTTACACATTTAATAGTTGGAAATATTCCAATCTATAAAAAATTCCAATAACCATAGTTTCAATTGGTTTGTTAAAAATATGAAACTACAACACCTCCTATTAACTATTATTATTTTTTGTCTTTTTGAGAGAGGGTCTCGCTATGCAGTTCAGGCTGGCTTTGAACTCACTATGTAGCCCAGGCTGGCCTCCAACTCACAGCAATCCTCCTGCCTCAGCCTCCTGAGTGCTGAGATTATAGGTGTGAGCCATCATGCCTGGCCCCCAAAATAAATAATTTAACAATATATTTTTTCTACGTCCAGGTGTGGTGGCGCACACCTGTAGTCCTAGCATTTGGTAAGGCTGAGGCACAGAAGGGTGGCTGTGAGTTTGCGGCTAGCCTGTGCTACACGGTGTGATCAAGGCCACCCTGGACTATATATATATACACTTTTTCCCGCGAGGTGAATTGACCACGTGTGGGAAACACATGTGAATTGACCAAAAATTGCTAGAGGTGAAAATGAATTTAGCGAAGGTGATTTCCTAAGCACA